GGGCGAGCCACAAAAAGCATTGAATGTCTAATATATATCAAGAAATTTGTCTACACATGCGTATTTTATGTTGATTTCTGGATTTTAGTTTTTTCAGACAAATCTGATCGAAATTTTCAGAAGAATTATTTCGTTCGTGTGTCTACAGGGTTGGCCAAAAAAGTTGTTGAATGTCGGTCACCTCTTATGGGAAATTCTGTCTATGTTCCTGTGGATTGTTTATTGAATTATCGATATGATTTTCTGTGCAATTGACAGAATTTTTATTTAGTGTATCAGAATGTATTCCTCGTTGGTAAAATTTGTATGCCCATATTAAGGGTGTCCCACAATATAGGGGACAAACTCTGATGGTAGAATATCCACTTTATTTTAGGGCTGGAAGTTCCAATAAACATATACCCTAAGATGAATAATAACCGAGTTACTGGGTTTTGAAAGTGACAAAAAATATATGTTTTCCAGATTAACTCCATAACGGCTCAACTTCTCTTAATGGAATTTGGTATGTCACATGACAGCATTCAGTTCCAAATTTCAATGCAAATCATGTGTTCGTAACTTCAAACAGGAGCGTACGGCAGGTGGGTGCCCCTAATCGCCCCTCCCCAAATTTCACAACACTGGATTAATATCGATTTCGTTTTCTTTTTCTTAATCCCAAATATTTCCTACACAAAAAAGGGATGAGTTTTGTTTCACAAATATCAACGCTTTTCAAGATATTTTAAGTTGAATAAGTGCGTGCGTATCAAAATCTCCTGATTTTTTAAAGGAATGTGTGGGTTACTATTTATAACATTATAACCAACAGATTTCGTACCTTGCAATGAGTATGACTTTGAGTATTTAGAAAATTGTTGGCATTTCTGAGGGATTTTGTTTACAAAAATTTCCCGATATAGAAAAACTTACATAGCAACTAATGAGTATCCATATAACATACGCATACACTTATTCAACTTCAAATATCTGGAAATTCATATATTTTCATTGGTCTTTGATATGTGTGCCAAATTTTAGATCATTCGGAGAATTGGATGTGGCTAAAAATTAAATTTCAAAATTCTCAACATTATCATTATTATTACATTAATAATAATGAATTTTTGTACTGTCGTCGGTCCTTGATGTGTAAGCCGAATTTTAGATTATTCGGAAGATTGAAAGCAGGTGGAATTTATAATTAATACATTCACATCATTATTTTTTTTTTTCATAAAAGGATGTCCTAGTCAGGCCCTAGCTATGGAGCCCCGATACTATCGGAGGCCGCACTGGATCATTCACCCAGATAATCACTTCCCACGTCCATGGGGTGAGTGATTACTGGGTCCGAGAATCATGTGCCCTGAGTAGCCGTAGTGAACCAAACATGACGGCCTTCTGCATTCTTCCGGCTAAGATTTCTGCCGCATCACGGCAAACCGGTATAATTTTTAGATTGGAGAGCATCGTCTCCTGTATCTTTCTCGATCTCACGTTGACTGGTATAAGGGTTTTTTATGATTGATCCCATAATAAGAAATTAATTTCCTTCATTTTCAATGATATGTTTTGGTCTATTTGCATTTTCATAAGCTACATCTCCAGTTCTACGAAATTCATGTAGCAATCCGTTTGAAAACCAACTTGTTTGGATGACTCCAGTCTGGAGTAGTACTTAAATTTAACGAATATTGATTGAGTTATTCATCAACAATGAATTGTAGTCGATATATTTTTTTACTACGATAAATTTCAAACTATGGTAAATGCAGAGATTAAGAGGAAAGGTACGAGGGTAACTTAAGCTATATGTACATACACGCATATAAGAAAAACTTTTAATTATTCATTCATTTTTCAAAAAAAAAAAATAAAAACTAGAGGTGTTTACAATAAGGCAATTTAATTTCGAAAATGCAAAAATAACCAATTTGTAATTGATTTGCTAAAATTCCAAAAGATCCCAACAAATATCACAAGTTGGCAATACCGAGCGAAACCAAATTATTTCACAGGGTGAATGCTTCTGCGGCCATCCACCCACGGATTCGATTATCTCTTTCCGTACACCGTCAGGCGACATATTCATCTCTCTTTCTTTAGAACCGTGTTGCTACATGTGAACCTTTTTTCCCACGAACGACTTTTTGTACATTCTTGTCTCAAAAATGCAACTCTCTTTTTCTGGTCGCAGAATCGAAGGTTACACGGTCTCTGTCTAGACATTCCACCAGACTGGTACGATGACCATGGGCGTGCATTCCAGAGAGTGAATCGGCCAAATTAGGTCAGTAAGCCTTCACGTTTAGAATAATCAGAGGAAACGGTAGACATACGACAAGTGAAATCCTACGTAAGTGCATACTGAATTTAATCTGAATAATCTGTTTGAATCTGTTCAAAATCTGTTTTTCCGTTAATCAGCTGTCGCCCCCATACGAAAGACAACTCTCAGAAGTTGAAAAACTTGTGCGAGCTAAGGACTAACGAAGTCTTACTTTTCAACGTGTTATTCCTAACAATAGGTTAATTCATGTTTGAGATAAAAGGCTACTAGATATCCATTTTCTTTCAGAACTGTTTACTATAATTAGGAACAATACCTCCATTCCCACAGAACCGAAAAAACCCTTAATGACATTAACGTTTGCAGTCAAGTCTAGGTAGCCAGACTTGATTGATGTTGATTCCCCCTTCCATTCACACATTGTCTCTATATATAGCTTGGATAGTTATACACTGGGTTCTATCGAGTAACACACTACATCAGTAATGAAAAGAGTATAAAATACCTACGAAATGTTGGAGAAAATTCAAATTATCCACGAGGAAAGTGTTTTTATAAATGTTAAGCTAATACCTAGTGAAAATATAAAAAATATATCTAGAATTCTACTACTTCTTAAAATATCACACGTAAGATCTTGATCTTTGATTGATAGAAACATTGGATGGAAAAAAAGCCTTTTTTTCAGATAAATATGAAATGAACTATTTTCTCGTGGAAACGATTGTTTTATAGGTATATATCACAATACCTAACTGATATTATTTTTTAAAACTGTATTCATACTTTTTTAAATTTTAAAATTACAAAAGGAAGGGAGAATTGCAGAAGGGTAAACAAACAGAATATAGACTGAAAACAACCTAGAAGTTTCATTTCCAAAAGTTGATTGGAACGATATAGTTGGTTATTTCATTCTTTTCTTTTAAATGCATTGCTTTAGTTCAGTAATTACCAAGTTTTTTCAAATCCTACTAATCTCTTTCGCTGTGTCATAGCCATAGATACGTGAATAAACTACGAAAATAAAGTTAGTATATCCTTTCCACAGAAATGACGTTTTTTTAAACTAAAATAAGTAAAATTCAGTCATGAATAAAAATTAGATTTGAAGTCACATTATTCGACGCCCATGATCTGTTCTCTCGGCTGAACCTTTGTTGTTAAAGAAACTGCTTTGATGTCCGCGGTGGATTTTTCGAATTGTTTAATAAAGGTTGTTTCTTGTTTCAACTGGTATAATGAAGTGTTTCTAGGTCTTTCATCTTATAACAAAAACAACACATATTTATATCAGTAGAATTTGAAATGATATGAAACTTGAAGGAATCTGATATAATTATTTCGAATAATTCCTGTAGAATTCAAGGATATTTTTTTCCAAAACAATAAAATGATATAATTTCGGGAAACCTTCAAAACAGAGTTCTGCGGACCAGGCATAAAATGACAGTGATAAAACTGACAGTCATCAAATAAACAAAGATGTTTTATTGATGAAACTGATTGAGGAATTTATATTACGTTATTACGTCGGTGCCTTCAGATCAGAATATTTCAGGAAATAATCTTAACGAAGACCACTCGTACTAAAAAAATCCAAAACTTTTTTTGAGCAATACCAATCCGGCACACCTCATTTGATGAAACTATCATGCTAGTTGTTTTCATGATATTGCTAGATAGCGTTATCGTTGTAAAATATTTATTTTTTATTTATCGACAAAATTCTGAGGTATTGTCGTATTACTTTCGATTATTGGTTGTTTTTTTATAATTATTATTAATCAAACTTTGTTATTTTTCGGCAATACCAATCTGGTAAGCATCACTTGATAAAACTATATTATGCTAGTTGTTCTCATGATATTGGTAAATAACAACGTTATCGTTGAAAAACAGTAATTCATCGACAACATTCTGAGGAATTGTTTTAATAATTTCGATTATTTGTTGTTTTTGTATTATCATTATTAATCGAACTTTTATGATTATATAATTGTCAAGAGGTAAATATTGTGTGAGGAAGAAAAATGGTATTTTCACTGATCCGAATTCTCCAGTAACAATTATTTATTTCCCTTTAGACTTTATAGTGTCAAGGAAGAAATAAATTTCCTTTTTTTCTGCAGACCTAATAGGTTCATGTCATTAGACATGTCAATACATACTAATATAGTTTGATGATCAAATTGAATATCACCAAAAATGTTGACAGATAGGTAAAAAATAAACACATACAGATTATACCCACACTTATATATAAACACACAAAGTTATGTCATCCAATAGTCTAGAATGGAATAGAATGTATTGGAATAGACTACGTTTATTGACAGCATCATCAAAATTGTAATAGTCATTAAGATCAATGGTTACAATGAAAATTACTTCAATAAACTCTTGAATTTGAAATTATTACAATTTTGACGCGTTAAAAGTACTTTCTCATAAAACATGGAGATCCGTCTGTCATAAGCTAGTCTGAGAGTTGTATTATCAGCAAAACTGCATAAGAGGCTAGAGCTTTTATTAATATATTTAGTGGGATGTTAGTTGGTTATCCAGAAATTGTAAGAAAATTAATTCCATATTGTCTAAGACCCGATTCACACGGACGAAAAATTCAACACCCCGCAAATTATATTAGGAGGAACGTTGTTTATATATAAATAGATTGTCTCTTATATCAAAATCACCCGAAAAAGTTGCTGCAATCATAAATATGGCGAAGCCGACGTCAGTGGAAGAACTCAGAAGATTCTTAGGTATGGTTACATATTATGCAAGATTCATTCCTAACAATTCAAGTAAAACTGCTCCTCTTCGTCATCTGCTGAAAAACAATGTCAGATTCTGTTGGGCAGCTTTCATCAAACTCAAACAAGAAATTGCCAGTGACCAAGTTCTTATGCCTTTCAATCCATCGTTACCAGTGCAACTTGCATGCGACGCAAGTCCTAATGGTGTTGCTGGAATATTGTTACACGTTGTGGATGGTAATGAACGGCCTATCGCATTTGCTTCAAGGTCTTTGACTTCTGCAGAACAAGGTTACTCTCAACTCGATAGAGAAGCCTTGGCCATCATTTTTTCTGTGGATCGATTTTACCAATATTTGTTTGCACGCCCATTCACACTCATTACGGATAATCAACCACTTGTAAGAATTTTTCATCAGAACGCAAAGATTCCCAAGATGACTTCAGCTCGACTTCAAAGATACGCTACATTTTTGTCTGGATTCAATTACACATTATCCTTCAGGAAAGGAAAAGATAATTCAAATGTAGATTGCCTTTCAAGGGCGCCAGTTTCAGCAAAACTTCAAATGGATTCAGTAATCAATAACAAAGTTCATCATTTATGTAATTCTAACATTTCACAAATAACTACATCAGAACTGTCTTATGAAACGCTGAAAAAGGAAACATTTAAGGACGAAACACTGTCAGCACTTTTGAAAGATCTAAAACAGGATTCAAATTGCAAAGCAGAATTCACTGTAGACTGTGATGTGTTATTCAAAGGCCAGCGTGTTGTTATACCTACATCTTTACAAGCAGCAGTTTTGAAAGAGCTTCATCATACTCACATTGGAATTACTAAAATGAAACAATTAGCCAGCCGTTACGTTTACTGGAAATCTATTGATAAAGACATTGATCGCATGGTAAGAAGTTGCCCATCCTGTATATCTGTTCAGCCAAACCCTTCAAGAGCACCATTGAACCCTTGGATGGAACCAGAAAATAATTGGCAGCGAATACATATCGACTATGCAGGACCGTTTCAGAATCATCATTTTCTTGTTGTTATCGACGCAAAATCCAAATGGGCTGAGGTTGTTCCGTGTACATCAGCTCCAACTTCTTCATCTTCAATAGAGATACTCCAAGATATATTTGCTCGTAATGGATTTCCCGATGTTATGGTTTCCGATAATGCAACTATATTCACAAGTGAAAATTTTAAAAAGTTTTGCCAATCAGCAGGTATTTTTCAAAAATTTATCGCAGCAGGACACCCAGCTACAAATGGATTAGCGGAACGTAACGTTCAAACTCTTAAACACAGACTTGCTGCTATGGCTAACGAACCTTTTTCTATGCGACAGAAAGTTCGTGAGATACTTTTTCGTTATCGAGCAACACCATTGTCTAATGGGAAGACACCATCAGAGCTTTTTCTTAATCGACAGATTCGTATCATTCGTATCACGCTGGATGCTTTGAAACCCGTTCATCATGAAAAATCAGCACCATCAAATAAAAAGGCACGACAATTCAGCGTGGGAGAGAGAGTTCAAACAAGGTATTACACAAATAATAAACAGTTATGGAAGACAGGAGAAATTATTAAGAAATTTGGGCTTCTTCACTATCAAGTGAAACTCGATGATGGATATATTTTGAAGAGACATATTGATTAGATAAGATCGACCAACTTGTCCAAAAGTAAATCCTTTTTTTTCGCACCTGAAGTAGAAGTTACTTATGAAGATCAATCAAAACAGCCTAATATAACTGATTTGGTGACGATTCCAGTGCGAGAGGAACAAGCCAATCAACCGGATAATATTCAAAATGAGGTGTTTGAACCAGATCAAATTGAAGTACCTGATGATCAAATACCTCATCCACCAACCAACATAACAGAGTTGAGAGGGTCAGGCCGCCCTGTTAAACTTCCATCGCGCTTCAACGATTACATAGTTGAAAAGAAATAATTCAATAAGCGTGGGAGATTGTTGTGTATTACATATATTTATATATTTGGGACACCCGTGATATCATTAGTGTAAATTATTATCCAGTTGTCAAATAGATGTCAATTAAAAAGATCACAAAGAGAAGTCACTCATTCATTATAAAGTGGTATTAATACATACATCAAATCAAATACTACTCATTCACAACAGTTATCCTCTCCTTTGAAAAGTAAAATACAATTTTCTATTCGAATTTTTTATATTCAGTTATGCTACCCTTCAAATTAGATGGCAACTGTGGTAAATATATCTAACGGAAAAAAATCGTTTTTATTGCTTTCCACATCAGTAACAAATATGCATACATTTAGTAGCAAATGGCATTGTTCGCTTCCAGACAACCATAACATATTGAATAGTTCTAGCTTATTAGTAGTGGATAAGATCTTGAGTATCCGTTATTTATGCAAGAAGATTTCAATCAAATTCACCAATGAGATTTTCTAAAATGACTTAAAAATTTCCGCTTCCAGAAATAGCAGCCAAACGTTCAACCAAATGTGATACACTTTATCACTGAAGATTTCAAAAAACTTAAAAGGTTTTTGAAATACATTCTTGATGAAAAAACATTACTGAATTTGCTCATAACCATCAATCCAGTTCTATTACTTACCAATTCAGTCAAATGAACTATTGGTGGATCTTAATTGATCTACATGACCCATAGCTGCTTTACAAGTTGATACCCCTGGTAGACAGCTAACATAAGAGTAGGAAATGTGTGTGAGCTCATGCAATGGTTATTAACAGGTGCTGAACAGACCTATCATACGACTAACTGGGTTGGTCTACCGAGACCAAGTGTCAAAATATCTATATACCTCTTGGAAATAACTCAATTATTTTCAGACGAAATCGCCTGCTTTACGTTTGTTCAAAAGTGTCCAGAAATGAACATTCAAGAAGCAAGGATCTATAATTTATTAGACTTCCAAGCAGTTATGAAAGTTATAAAAGAAGTCCAGATACTTGTGGGTCCAAATTGACTTGTGATCATCAGGTTACAAGGGAATTCAAGGAAATGTCCTGTACTGCGAAGGAGATACTATAATATTCCTTTCTTCTGGTCACGAACCTTTCTAGGTATCCTTGAAGTGCCACATGAAGGAGAAATAATGATGATTAAAAATTGATTTTGATAACTTAGTTATCACAGGAATAAATGCCAGGACAAAGACAAAAAACTAAACAGTTTCTAGGATTGGAAAAATACATTGATTGGTAGTAACGTCATATTTTCAATTCCAATCGAACTAACGCGCAAACAGATTCTGGTTTCTATTATTAGAAGTGTTGTCTAAATTCAAGAAATGTGTACAAAATATGTTATTTTGGATCTTTCTGTATGTCGTTGTTTTGTAGTCATAATGGTCTAGAAGTCTCATTTGTAAATTACGATCACATATATAAGGTACACTTTCAATACATTTCTCAATTTTTTTTTCTTCGTTTACTTGCTGCATTTGATTCAATCAGATATCAGATTTTTTATTGAAAATTCCAAGGATTTAATTCCACAATGGAAAAAAATCAAAAGTGTAATGGACAACTTTATACAGATATAAAAAGGCAAAAATTATTCACTGCACGTTTTCAGAATTGAGAAAAAAATTAATTGATTTGATTTTTATACTTATGAGGCAGATTCCACTATGGTTGAAACTATTCAAAAATTGAACTGAAACCATTTCATTCACATTGTACTGTTATGTTTGCTGAAATTATAATTGCTGTAGGTATTAGGAATTATTTTCAAGTCTTTTAATTGATTTATGAAAAAAAAATTCGGGATGAAATTACCTTCAAAAACATCGTTGATGGAGATAATTTTGTTTTGAAAAACTTGTACTATTATTATACATGGCAGACTTTAAAAAAGTTATTTTATATGTTTATAACCCGCAAAATTTTAATTTACACTGAAACTTGGGTTATTGAAATAGAAGAATGGTCAAAGTAATCTTCTTCGATTTTGTATCGTATTTACCTCTCAAATCTTATAAAAGTGATATCAATGTTGAATATTATTCTTCGACTTCAAATACCACAAAAAGTTGGTATGCCCAACTACAGCTATCTCTTGATTTATTCAAAAGTTCTGAAAAAAGGGCCAAGAGCGTAGTATTTTTTGAAAAAACAGTTTGACTTAAGAAATTAGGTAACACTCATTTTCTTCCCTAGATGAGACAATAGAAATATCGGAAGTATACTTATGAAAGCATTTTGGTTACTAAGTTATTGAATTGATTTATTGTATACGTCTGTTTATAACATGTGAATAGAAAATAATGTTCGGTTAGTTCACAAATAACGATAACATTTTCAATGTGTTTTCGTCAATATCATTGTTACTTTTAGATCATGAAAATCAACAGTTAATATTTCATTCCTGCATACAAAATTTACGAATTCAAATTATTTGAAAACGTTACACAAATCGCTCTGAGTGTAAGTCAAATTCGACTCTTCTTCCCGAAAACATTTCAATTTTAAAACTAAAAATGGAATTTGGTTCCGAAAAGTGAGAGAGAGCATAATCCTCCGACAAAACGTTATGATTAAAATATTGGAGCGCCTCAGAGCCGAGTACTTAATAACACAACCATGGAATATCCCGTCACAGAAGCCACAAATCCTGCTACACCACTTCATTTGAAGCTCTTATTTACATAAAAAGATTTTATCGATCAATATTCTCTTAGAACTCGCATCTCCCTTCTTTAAATGGGATGATGCCTTCGCAGTGCCTTTATTTTAATAAGGCGTGACCCCACCTTATATAATCGGTGATTCAATCATTCGAAAAACAAGGCTCAACAGATGGTGGTGAAAATGTCAACGATACCGAGTTTCAATTATTTGGCCATTATCAGAATGAAATTCTGCCAAACTCTTGAAACATGATTCATTTCTGGGAGGAGCTGGCACAATGTATAAGCTCTGCTTCATCAGTTTCCAAACTACAGTATCGGCATATGTTAATTCAAACGATAGTGACATGTAAACAGGTCCATTGGAAAAAGTAGGTCATCCCTGCTAAAGTCTACCAATTATTTGGTACCACGCCTTTCATGCCTTGAACTGGAACAATCTTGGTGAGTTTTGACAAGTCATGATATATTGTATCAAAATACAATCATATTGGAAGTTTCCCATTTCCTCAAATGTTGTTCAATATATACACTGATGCATTGAGAAAGCAATTACCTATTTCTGAAATATATA